TGAAAGCCATCCGTCCGTCCGTCCGTCCGCCACTCAGCCGTCCGTCCGTCCGTCCGCCATCCATCCGTCCGTCCGTATCCGCGTTTTATCCTAACCCGCGCGTCACTTTTATGTGAAACATTTCGCAAAAACAAATTATTTGGTTTGCAAACGCACCAAATTTACTACCTAGCGTACTACATTTTACTACATAGCGTAGATATATGCTTCTCGTTCTTGACGTGGATAGAATTTAGCCAATACACGACCCAAAACCATTACTGTTGCTTACTCACAAGCGCCCGCGTTAAAGACTTATTGCAGAATGAAGTTTACAAGCTCAGTTGGCTGTTTTTGAGCGAAAACAAACCGGAATTTACTGCGTATGCTTGAAACCTATGTTTTTCGCAACGGACATAGCGTGGCTAGGCTAGGCTACTCCATTGCGCATTTGCTGACCATATTTACGTATTTTGATAGAAATAACTAAATAACCAACTTCTTTATTCCCATCGAACCTTTTGGAAAACATTGTTTTGACCTTCCGTTTCAAAACCAACAGCATACTTAATCGAGGGAGGCACTTAATAGAGGGGCGCTTATTAGAGGGGGCGCTTAAATAGAGGGGCGTTTAATTTCAACTATAAGAAAATTCTAGTTGGCAGCTGGGAACAAAAAATGCCATCAGAAAACTAAGAGAAACTGAGCTTGGAAATGATTGGCTGAGTAGGGTGTAATTCCGCTGAGGCTGGGTGGAATCACTTTCTATTCTGAAGTCAATTGTTTTGCGCGCTAATCTTTTATTTGTGCGGTTTGCAGTAACCTGCGATCAGGCACAAAACGTCTGATCGCAGGTTAAGCCTTTTACGCGGCGGCGGAACAATTTTCAAGTTTGGGGGGGGGGGTATTTTCAGCTAAGCTGGGTACCGTAGGTTTCAGCTAAGTGGAAACACGACACTCACCGTTTGGAACTTAATTCTTGTATTGTAAATAGTTGTATATAATTCTTTATTCTTTTCTATATCATATTTGTAATTTTTAATAGTAACAGACGTCCCTCGCGAAAATCAACAAATCGTTGACGAGGCTAACGTCTTTAAATAAAGTTTACATACATACATACATACATACAAAACATGATCCAAGATTTTTAAAGTCAGGTGGGCTGAAAACAAGGGGGTCCTGGGGGGCATGCCCTCTCCCACCCGGATAAAATCCGAGACTCGGAAATGCCATTCCCTGCACTTTCTGCCACCGAATTGAAGAATTTGCGGTCGAACAAATGCCTAAAAAAATTGCTTCATAATTAGTTTAGGGGCTAAAATCGCCAGCAAATTAGCATAGTTGAACTACCTGGCGATAAAAAACCTTACGCTTTTTAAACGAGACATAATACGACTTAATCTATTTTTAGAGCTGCTTAGCCCCGCTGTGAAAAGTATATCCGTGTGCTGAAGCTCCCACTAGTTAAGATTCACTGAAGGAAAATTTCATTGACCACAATATTGGTAATTTTTTTCACTTCGCCTTTTAGACAGCGATCAAAAATCTTCATATTACTGTTCTACTCTGATTGTTTTTGGGCACCCCCCCCCTACACACACACTTTTACTTCTGGAGGGCGGCGGTTGCCCGCCCCTAGCCCCCCTGTTCCGTCGAATGCCAAAAGGAGAGAAATTTTCTCACAACTAGACGCATTATTACGTCTGTAAGAAAAAATAATACCTTCTGCAAGAAAATGATGCCTTCTGCATTTCTCATGATTTTGTAGCGAAATAAACCATGTCTGCACAGTCGACAATCCACCTTTACTGCGATGAGCAATATGACACTGCCACGTAAGCAAATTTGCATATTTTCGGACAACTTTTGTTACATGCTAATAAAAATATATACATGTGCGTGAACTAAAAAGGCAAATAAACATAAAGGGAAGGACGAATCTGATAATTTTCTAGTATGGGAAGTTATTTTAGATGTTGTCAGTATCTTATGAATGAAAATAATGCCTGGTCACATCAACAGAACTATGGATCCAAGGATAGTGTGAAGTTTCTAATTGAAAAAGACACCGCAAGAACTATATAGGTTCGCTGACAACCTAGAAAAGCTGATGGCTTACACTGCGAAATAAACAATTACCAAAGGCATTTCATCTCATTATCTATTGCGCACACGAGTAGCGTGACGTTTGAAACAAGCCCAACACATCAGAAACGTGCCTTGTGAAACTGACACAATTTATCTATTTATTGTGATGCTACACGCATGCTAAATTTCAATTGTTTCACCAACAACCAAATTTTGCATATTCTAAATTTTCATTTGCATTTGCATTTGCAGCTGTCGCTAAAAGCATCCCCACGAGGCTACTGCTATGCTAAACTTATCTAAAACTATAATTGAAACAGCTGTATACGATATGTTATGAATAATAAGCACTACGTCGTTATATCATTGAAAGGAAGCATTTTATCTTCATCCGTTCCGTATTTTATCCGCATATCCGTTCCGTGGATCCGCTCCATCCGCTTCCGCATTTTAACCTAATTGTAACATGTTTCACACAGTGAACTCAATCTATTTACACAGAATAGATACCGGACCAGAAGAGTAACTCCTATGTGTTTTGGCTGAAGGAGAACGTCCGAAATTTTTTTGCGTGCTATGACGCCATCCTGGAGTGCACCCGGCACTTTGTACCTATGTTTTCCTATGAAAAACTTCCGTATGCACTCCAGGATGGCGTCATATGATGGCGTATTTTCACGTCAACACTCGTAAAATTTCGGACAAAATATCGTCTGAGTGACACTTCTGGTTCTGTATCTATTCTGTGCTATTTACCTGGAATGATAACATTCAGTCATTTGGCAGTTAAAAAGTGAAGCCTCGCGTGAGCAATGCGTGAGCAGTGGCGTCAGCCCTCCACGCCACATAGTACGTCAGTTTCAGTCCCTTTATAAGCCATCACCGCGCGGTCTGATCGCCACGCCATATAGTACGTCAGTTTCAGTCCCCTTATACGCCATCACCGCGCGCGGTCAACTGCCACGCCAGAAAGTACGTCAGTTTCAGTCTCCTTATACGCCATCACCGCGCGGTCTATCACGAATCAGCGCACGTCAAGTGGCGTCGGCATTGGCTTCACGTTTCTCCCGCATGTTATCATTCCAGATAAAAGACATGGAGTTCACTGGTTTCACAATAATAACTTAAGAAGTCTCATTGACCTTTGACTTTTCGAAGGTCACGTTCAAGGGCGTCAATCCTGGGGATGGGGGGGGGGGGCATAGAAATAATAGATATAGAATGCGTACTCCTATCTTTTCTCAGTGAAAAATTTGTCTCCACAAAATGGCGGATTTATAAGGGCATTTTGGTTCCCAGACTCCCAGGCGGCAGGGAATTTCCATAGGAATTTCAGTGGGAATTTCGCGCGGTTGCAGAGAGTGCAAATTGTTTTTTCAAATGCAAAGTTTGCAAAAATTTTCATATCGAGACTTAAAATGGAAAAAAGTGGAAAAAAGTGTCTAAAAACCCATTCTAGTGGGCTTTTTTTACGAAAAGCAACAGTTCTGAACAGAATATATACAGAAATCATCGTTTAAAAATAAATTTTCAACGTTGTTGTGCCATAGGTAGCCCAACAATCAGTGGCATTAATTCATTTCTGTTCAATAAAATCATACTACTACTTAGTCCCCGACTGCATTGTTTACGCGCGGTCAGATCATGTACGTATCCCTATAGTAATATATGCTCATAAAGAAAAAATTATCAGTAACTGCTAATGGTGCAACGCTACAATAACAAAAATACGGAATATTGAATTAATAGTTTCCGTATCAATTCTGTCATCAGCTCATTCTAATAACACAATATATCAAACACATATGTTTCTATTCTAATACTGTATTAAGTCAACTAGGCGGCATAATTATTAATTTAACAGAAAATAAATCAAGTGTGTCCGCTTATAAGAGGTTATAATGTTGTTTGGGAAGGTTGTTTTGGTGTCCGCGTCCGCTTACGGGAGGTGTCCGCCTAGGAGAAGTTGTAAATATAGTAATATAATAGCGTATTGGCCGGGACCCAAAAACAGTGTCCGCGTACAAGAGGTGTCCGCTTCCGGGAGGTGTCCGTAAGTAGAGGTTCGACTGTAGTTATTCAAAATCAGTGTAAGGGGCCTGGAAACGACTGTGTTGCCTTGGCAACAAAATTACAAGTATTTTCCCATGCGTCTCATCATGTGCTATCTGTACGCAAAATTTCATTTGATTTGAGCCAATAATAACTTAGCTATGCTTTAGTTTACTATTCAATAAACATACTTACCCAACTAATGACGTCACACGTTGTGCTGAATCAGCAATTTATATTTTACACATTTTTGTGTATAACTTCGGAACCAGATGAGATAGAATAGAGCATTAAACGGGCCAATCGGCTTATTTTTTCATGCTCTTACAGATAAAGCAATAAAAATTTTTATTGCGCCGGTCTGACAAGGCGGCTGGGTGGATCTCTCAATTAACCTGCAAACCTTGTCAAAAATAGCACCCTAAAATAGTGAGGCGAAAGCGAAAAGGCTGAGGAGCTAGGTACAACCCTTTTCTACAATCAATTGTATTAAGGCGGATTTCCATTCAATGCAAAATGTCGCGCGATCTACTTTTGGCGATCGCTTTCTTTTGTCTCATGAGCTCTCGACTAGAACGGATCAAGTCAAGAAGAGCTCAGGAGACAAAAGAATGCGATCGAAAAAATCGATCGCCCGACATTTTGCACCGAGTTTTACATTTTTTTACGATCGCCCGACATTTTGCACCGAGGTTTACAGTTTACGTTTACATTTTGCACTTGTGGTTTACATTTTTCGCACATTTTCACTTGAGCTAGTGCAAATTAGACTTTAGGTTAATATCTACAAATATGTAATAAAACAGCGTTTAGTTTACAAATTTAAATCGTGTTGTATTTACAAATGTTCAGATCAGATATATTAATCATAAATGCACTCAAATGTCAATTATTAAACCTCTAGCTTTACAAGTTTCATAGTTCTCTATGTCACGAAGTAGCTTCTTGTCCTTTTTAGTAAAATCGCCAATAATCCATAATTTTGTTAACACGCAATGTTCATCTTGCAGCGCCTCCGACAAGCTGGGTATGCATTGATCTGTCAATAAACAACCAGTAATATTCAACTCAGTAAGTTTACAATGTTCATTTGTTGGCGCATCTTTGAACAACATACATACACCTTCATCACCTATGTCATTGGACGACAATGATAGAGAAGTCAGTTGACAATGTTCATCTTGCAGCGCCTTGCACAAGCTGGGTATGCATCGATCTGTCAATACACAATGAGTAAAATCCAACTCAGTAAATTTACAATGTTCATTAGTTAGAGCATCTTCGAACAACATACATGCACCTACATCACTTATGCAATTCCTCCCCAGTGATAGAACAGTCAGTTGACAACGTTCATCTTGCAGTGTGTTACACAAGCTGGGTATGCATTGATCTGTCAATGAACATTCATCAAGATCCAACTCAGTAAGTTTACAATGTTCATTTGTTAGAGCATCTTTGAACAACATACATGCACCTTCATCACCTATGCAGGTTTCGCCTTTGGACGACAATGATAGAGAAGTCAGTTGACAATGTTCATCTTGCAGCGCCTTACACAAGCTGGGTATGCATTGACCTGTCAATTTACAACGAGTAAGATCCAACTTAGTAAGTTTACAATGTTCATTTGTTAGAGCATCTTCGAAAAACATACATGCACCTTTATCACCTATGGCATTGTCAAGCAGTAATAGAACAGTCAGTTGACAACATTCATCTTGCAGTGCCTTAACTAGCTTAGGAATACATTGATCTGTAAACTTGCACTTATTGACATCCAATCGATTAAGTTTAGGAAACCATTTGATCAGAGTATCCCACAATACGCTTGCACCCTCATCACCAAAATTATTTCCACTGAGAACCAAATCTGTAAGATTTGGACAATGTCCATTGTTATGGGCTTTACGGAGTTTCGAAATATCATCTGAATTAATTTCATTCCTACTTAGATCTAAACACTCAAGTTGGCTCGCATGCCCGTTTCGAAAAAAATTGCACATGGTTGATAAATCTTCTGTAGTCATGCGAAAACCGCTGAGTTGTAACAAAGTCAGCTCAGTCTCTTTGTGTTCCAATGTGCAGTTTAATTCCATCAATGCGCTAAATACTTGTTGCATCTCTACAATATTGTGATGTTTAGGGCTACGGTTATTTCCAGACAAATACAGTTGTTTCAGGCATCTTTTTCGTAGCAATTCTAGAACCTCTGAAAGACAATCTGCATTGTTAGCATCCAATTTGAAAATTGCCAATTTTTTCATGTGTTTGCAAACGAAAATCACCGCCGCCATCTCACTTAGAGAACATTTATATTTAGAACCACTGACATTTACAACATCGTTCAACGAAGTTGTCTCGCAAACTTTTTCAGTGATCTCTTCATCGTCAACTTCCCTTAAAAACTTCATCATAAACACTTCGTTGTAATCAAGTATAATTTTACCATAAGTTTCTTTCAAGAGGTTTTCTGGAAACGCCCAAACACAATTCTTGTATTCCGTATCAAATTTCTTGATTTTTTTCCCCAAAAGTCCTGCAAGAAACTGAAGAACTAAATGCCATTTTCCACTTCCAACATGATCGGAAATAAACTTCTTTATTTCGGGTGGAGCGAGGGTTTCAGTCACGTGTAATGCAGCAAGAAATTCTTGTATGGTTAAATGAATAAAGCAAAACTGTGTTTGTAGTGGGAAAATAGGGTTGGATAAACAGTTCACTAAACCAGATTTTTTCATTTGCTCATCAAATGATTCTTGTTCAAAAACCAGTTGCACGTTTTCCATACCAAGGAATGCTAATCGTTTAAGTTCCTTTAATGCTTCCTGTGCAGTAGAGTTTCCGCCTTCATTTCTTTGATGATGTTTCTCAAAATGATTTATGGCTCTTTGGTATAGTTCTGTCAGTGTTGTTGGGAGAGCACAGCCATCATATTCTGGGTCACTAAGACATCCAGAGAGGGTGACGCACACTATAAAGGAGTTAACTGGAATGTAACATAAGTTCAACAGTTCTGTTGAGGATTCTATGTGATTCCATATCTTCGGTTTAAGGTTGCTTGTGTTATTATTGTCACAAAATTTGGTGACATACTCTTCAATTTTCTCGGAAGTGAAACCAATAATCTCCACATTTCGATCAAAATCAAGTCTTGAGTAAAAATGATCTGCAGTCGGTCTGCTCGTTACTAGAACCGTTGCTTCTTTCAACATGTGACCCAAAACCAGTTTGACGAATAAATTCATTACAGACATGCAAGTTTTGGGATCGTTGGGAATCATCCTTGATTGGTCTAAGCAATTGATGGGGTTGCCATGAAATTCATCCAAACCATCAAAAATAAGAATGGCTCTTTGTGGCTCTTTGACTATTTCGTGATAAATACTTTCAAATTTTTCATCGCTCAGTTCCGTTCCAAACTGAAGAAATGTTTTTAGGGATATGTTTTCTAAGTTTTTATTATTGAACCATCTGAATTTGAAAAAGAAGGCAATCTTGTCAGAATAATAATTATCAATTCCATCAGCCCAATCACGGAGAATTTTTTCGGTTAAGATCGTTTTTCCAATTCCGGGACGTCCAATCGCCAGAATGCTGCGAGGAAAATTACCCTTTGTATCTTCGTTTGGTTGAAATAAATCTTTAATCTTTTCTAAACGTATTGAGGTTGGAGGAACTTTCATATAAACGTCGTAGATCTCATGTCTTTTCATGTTTTTAGTAAACTTATGCTTAGCTCGTTCAGTGTGGATAACAACGTCAATATACAAATCATTTATATCAGCGTTTGGTCCATAAATTATGTCAGGTGCACGAGAACGATTCAAAACTTGTTCCTTGTAAAAGTTTATACTGTCCTTAGTCCGAGAATCCTGAATATTGTTGTCCACAGTGCTACATCCCCGAGTGGTAGCGTCCGGAGTGCTATAATCCTGATAGCTACAGTCCTGAGAGCCACAGTCCTGAATATTGTTGTCCACAGTGCTACATCCATCATGAGCGTTAGCGTCCTGATTGCTATAATCCTGAGAGCTACAGTCCTGATTCCTAGACTCCTGAATGCTGTTGTTCACAGTGCTACACGCTTGAGTGACAGAGTCCTGAGTGCTATAAGCCTGAATGCTACAGGGTGGAGGGTTGTTTTCGATGCTTCTTAAAGGTTGGCGTTCACCAGACACATATTGCTTTCCAAGAAAATAGTCAACAACAAATTCAGAATCACAGTTCCAGCCAGAATGACGGTTGAACATTGGTAAACGTGGCAAAAGATAAATCACTTCCACAAGTATAACTGAGGCAACAATACCGTTTGTTGCAGAAACAAATACACCCGATACCCATTTTCCTGATGCTGTCGCGTTCTCGCATTTTACTGATGTACTATTCAATTTACGACTCGCATTCTTTGGTGTATTGATATTGGATCTTATTTGATCCGTTGTTGGTAAATTACAGCTGAATTTGAAATCAAACCCATTTGGATAGAAATATGTGTATTGTAAAACAGTTAAAATGATCCCAAATAACGCACGCACAACCAGGTGGACAAAATAGCAATAAAAAACATTTACCGTTTTCCTGTCCTGTCCATGGTTCTCAGCTTCGCCATCGGTTTGTCGTTCATGTCTTGACTCTATTTCGTCGACACGAATGCGCACTATCAGTGAATAAATAACACTGACAAGAACTGGCAATCCAATACTCAGTGGAACAAAGCCGTACAAAGGCACAGGGGAGTTATAAGCCTGATCATATCTTGCAAAACATGCCTGATCGACCTGTCTCTTGTACGTGGCCGTGCTTTTAGCATCGACAGAGCAAGAAAATTTCCCGTTCTCGCTTGTCCAGGAAGCTACGGTAAAACCACTTCATGGCAATCCACAAAGGAACTGAACAATTACACATACATACGCGACAACACCAAATGTTTTCGGTGCTAAATAATCCTTAACTGCGTCTATCATCTTTTAAAACCATATCAAAGCCTGCTTTGGTAAGAAAAGCAGTTTGTTCTATCCTGTAATAGTTTGCGACGTTGCTATAAAATAAGAAACTTGATCTATGAATATGTCAAAATTGTCTGTGACTATTAAGCAAACTGATAATTGATACATTAAAGTACGACTTAACAAGATTTTGCTTATTGCAGATTTTCATAATTCAGTCGTACCCATGGGATATACTAAATTGCAATATCAAAACAGTGGAATTTGCGACAATTTGTAGAAAATTAATAGCAAGGAATGTCAAAATAATACACTCCGCATTTTCAACACTCCGCATTTTCAACACTCCGCATTTTCAACACTCCGCATTTTCAACACTCCGCACTTTCAACACTCCGCAAATTCATGCAAACCTAATATCAAGTATGCGTCAAAGTAAACATACCACAGATGCGGTGGTGTTATGTATCAGTTTGCCAAATTAAAACCGCATTCCATAGTAGTAAGCGCGTCGAAGCCTACAAGATGGAAATTTTCCTCACATCTAGACACATTATAACGTCGGCAAAATAAATAATGGCTCAAGCAGTTGAGAGGAAGCTGCATTTCGCATGATTTCATAACAAAACAGACCATGTCTACGCAGTGAGTTTATATAAAATGTGACCTACTGACCTGTGTCTGAGTTCAATCAATAAAATTTAGTTTGGCTTTGTTTGCGTCTTCTTTTATTGGTTAATAATAGACTTTAGAAGTGGTTACTTCATGTCACTGTCAAACAATGAATATTTGACGTACATGTATCCCACATTGCATTGCGTATACCTAATGTTTATATGGAATGAAAATTACGTGACGTAAGCACTTCTAATGTCTATTCTTGATCTCTTGCCAACAGATATCGTATAGATAATTCATAAATTAAGTTATTTGAGTACAATAAGGTTTTCAGTTTGATGAAATAAGTTGAACTTAGTACTGAAGGAAGTATTTTAATATTCCAGATTCAAGTCGAAGTATACAATGTTTTTATTTG